TACTAACTCAACAATGAAATTAAAATACTGTTTTATACTATTTCTATAGTTTATTGAACGACATATCGCTACTCAATTCATTGCTTGCGTTATGAAAATAACGGAATTATTTCGAGCATCTATTTGCTTCGGAGACCATTTATCCTTAGTGATAATGTTATGTTTGAGATTGGAACTATTCAGTAGACATGTTATTGAAGCAGAGGTCGAAACACATCCTGGCTTTATCTCAATTACAGCAATCATCCATTGAGTGCTGTTGAAATCCACAAAAAGATGGAAATTAAGGAAAAATAACGTTGATATAATGCTCTTTGCATTGCTCATTTTATAAGTAGACAGACACTTTGCAATAGTTATTTATTTATGAATCTCATCAAATGTCATCCACAAATCGTAATATCTCTGCAAAGTTGACATGAAATGTAAGATACTCTTCTGTAACAGATTATTCTAAATTAAAGGAAAATTTGCTCTGATTTGGATTTCATAAATACAATTGACTAATTTCCGCACAATTGATGATTGCATGATTTTTCTTTTCTGCCATGAATTAACATTTTGCTTTTGCATAGAGAAGGATAGTGCAGGTTTTGCAGATGTGAGAATTCCGAGAATTTTGGCATCTAACTTTCTCTGACTTTTATGAGGTAACTTTTTAGCAGTACTTTCACCGTGCAACTCAACAGTATAATATTATTATGACTATTATCAGACATGTAGAGAATTCATCACTTTGATCAACAAATGTCAACTTCATTTCAGTTGGAATGGAATATTTAAGTGATTTGGCATCGTTATATTTAATCATAAATAACTGCTGACTTTTGCACTTTTGCTGTAATTATCTTCTTTATGGAAAATATTCAGTCGTTAATTTAATGTAACTATTCTTTCTGTTCTCTGGTTCGGATTCCTTTTTTGTGAAACTTTTGAAGAAATTAATAAATGACTGACTCTCTTGAAAAGCTCTTTTAAAGGGAAATTTGAAAGAAGAAATGAATGTAAAGAAATAGAAAAAGCGGAAAAATTTTCGGATATTTTGCCATTAGCATTCAAATATCGATAATTTTTTTTGATTAACTTTTCTATATATATATATATATATGTGACCTATGACCGGAGAGTACGAGAGTACTTTCACTGTTCACTGCATTCATCGTTTTCCTCCATAAACTATTCCTCATATCTTTTTCAGTACCTCTGAGCAGTTTCACTAATCGAATCAGAAAATTTCCGGATGAATTTTTAAAACTTGTAAGTCCTAATTGCACCTCGAAACATAATTGCTGTCACACTTCTATTTTTCTATTTTATTAATGATTTAAATGGCGTTGACGAGAATTGAGATTGCAATCATATTTTAGCATTTGTCATCATGAGAATATACTAACAGATCGATTCATATTTTTGCGATTATAAATTCCGATTTGTCTGGTAATTCTTGTAATGGGAGGTATGGAATATGAGTTTAGCGAGGCGCTTATTTATTCTTTTCATGTTGTTTTTCTATCTTTTTATTACTATCATAATAACTTTCGTTTGTTTTCTGAAACTTTTTTTGCTAATTAATGCATTTGGCTTCTCCTATTTGAATATCACGTGAGAATGTAAACATAGTGATAATTAGTCATTTTAAAACGTTAAGTTTATTGTTAATCGAGAAACACTGCTATGTCTGTAAGAATTTCCAGCGGATTAGATCGCAGACAAAAATGAATTCTGGTAACGTGCAGGACGCTTGGCTGTCAGCAATTACAGTATCAACACATTTTTTAACCTACCAATACGAATTCTTTGCAGTTGTTACCTACCTAATCTTAAAACTAATTTTCCATAAATGTTTTTGAAATTAAAACCTTCCGAATTTTCCTATGAGTGAATTTCAATGGATCTCATATCTTCTAAGATTTGTAACTTATGTTATTCTATATTTATCTCATTGATAAAAATTTAAACTAACAAACGAATCATCAACTCAGAAGAAAAAAGGAAACTCCGATTTATTGTAGTAATTAATATTAACGGAAATTTTAAAATACCTTTTTAGAGTTCAACAATTTTGCATATTTTAATTGTGAACAGAAAAGGGCGTAGATATGAGGTAGTATAGAAAGAGTATGGAAAAGAAATGAAACTTTTTTCGGTATGAGATTATTTCGAATTCTCGATACTGGAAATACTGAAATATTATATGCCAGATGTAGAATTATTGTTTGATAAAGTTTAAATTATAAGGTTTGTTAATGAATTGTTTATTTTTCAACCATCATATTTTCAGCAAAATGATATGAGGAATGATTGCACAGCTGAAGATCTTCACTAAATGTCTTACTGTGCTCTCGATAATATACACCTAGTCATTACAACCGGCGCTTTTATAAACAAACATCGGTGTTTGTTTTATGTGTTATTTGCCACACTGTCATGGAAGTGACAAATAGCACATGATCATTATGAAATAAATTTTCATTTCTCAAATTTTATATATGTAACATGTGGCAAATTATATATATATATATATATATATGTTATTTCTTATTTTTAGCACGATAGTGTAAACAATTGAAGTTAAATGTAACCATTTGCGATATGATTATTATTTTCCAAAAACGTGATTTGCTTATTAACAATAAAGATTCTTAATTACAGCGCTAACATGATCCTATCACTAATGTTCTACGTCACGTAAGTGCATTTCTTTCCACATTTTTACAAAAAGTTAAATTAATTTATTTATAAGAATTGTTCCATAAATTATTAGAAATTGTATTTCTAAATACAGTAATACTCTTATGTTTGCTGTCAATGTTCTCATCTATAAAAATATAATAATAGTATCGCACTATTATATTTTACTTAGACTGGTTGCTGTCAATGCTCTCATCTATACCGAAGCAAAGGCTATATCCGAGTCAAGTTTTACAGTCATCATTCAATATAATGAAACCGTTTGCAAAGTTCAGGTAGAACTAGGAAAAATCTCCATATATTCTAAGAAAAAATTGAGGATATTGTTTTTGCGGTGGAGTTATAATAATTTTAAAAAAAATTTCATACTTACCTTATGCTCTTACAATTGGTACCGAAACAAGGGATGATGATCCTTATAGGATCATCAGTGTAGTGATTAGTGCTATTCTCAGGTAAGGAAAGCTTACGATATATTAAGTTTGCCGTAATTTGCTTGGCTACATGACTAAAGCACTTATGGTTATCATATGCATTTGACATATCTCTTTAATTTCTAATTAAGCAAGGAGAACAAGTGATAAACAAAATAAATTTATTTTGCAGAATGATATTCTCTCGATCAACGGTAAAGTGATTGGTAATTTAATGAAGGAGCAAAAAGAAGAGTTAAATAAGTTCATTAACCAAACAAAAGAATTGTCCAATCAGATGCATCGGCACATGCAAAATATTATGGCGGTATTCTTCCATTTATTTATTATAAAATGTGAAAGGAAAAGCAAATGAAGTTATTATAAACTTATATTTACAGTAACCTTTATTTGCTTTTAAGGTATGCCAAACGGACTTGTCATTAGTGTCTTTAACAAATTTGCTAGTCTTGAATTTATTGTCAACATTTGTTTTCATATAATTTTAATTAATCACGATCTAATCTTAACTTATATCTTACTATGTATTACTTGACACTTATTCTGGAAAGGTGTCTTATGACAATTTATTACTATATTTATTTATAAGCATATTTATTTGTTATCAGACAGTTTGATGAATAAATAAATAATGATTGACAACTTCATTTTTAGTTTCTTGATAGTATTTTTGGATCGATGAGGAACGCTTGGAACAATGCATGGGATTTTTCCTGGGATCTCTTTTCGCATCCTTCAAAGCCAAATAAAACTGTAGAGGAATCGAAAGGAAAAGTGGAGAACAAATTAGAAATTTCGGAGAAAGATGCTGATTCTTTGATTCTTAATCCTTGGGATATACCATCGTTTTGTAAAAATGTATGATTGCTATAAGTGATATATTGTGGCGCTGTGATCCACATCAAATATTTTCACTATGAGATTTTAACCCGATTTTTTTGTTGAAAAATATATCTGCTTGAAAAATAATATTAAACATGATTTATTATATCATTATATTTAATATCTTTGTTTATGTGAACATTACACTAACAGATACAAACACGCAGAAATATTTTTTTCAGCCACCTTTATTTCGTATTTGCATAAAGAAGCAAATCATTACAGTTTCTGTTTACATGCATGCAAGTCAATACTGAAACAAGCCTGATATACACTGTTACATCTGAATAAGGCATCAGTAAAGTAAACTGGCGAAAATTGCCTAAATTACTCAATAATAGCCTAGAAAATGCTGCTCATGATTTGTGTGCTGTTTCGAAGATTTTCGACTTTGTTCTAAGAGCGTGTTATAAAGAAGTGAAAATTACTAAGATATGCTAGAGCGATCTAATGAAGCCATTAATTAATGAGTGTAGCATAAGGGAAGTACTATTAAGTGATAGTCATCAGTTCTACCTATCATTGGCTGGTGATGATTAGGGGATCTTTTAATAACTAGTGCTCGAAATCAGTACGATGTGACAATTTGTAAATTAATATACAGTAAAAAGACAAATCGACTGTTGCTCTTTTCTTATTTCTTAACATTTTTTGAAAGTTTTGGATGACGAGCTGAATAGCATTTTTATATGATAGCATAGCATATAAGATTGCTATTCACGTGAATCAGTTGGAAACTTGATAAAAGCAAATATATTTGGGTGGCATGAATTTTTCATTAGCTTTCAATATTATTTAAGACCCAGTTCCTAAAAAGCTTTTATGATTCATTTCAAAAATTTTCAGACCTTCCTGATAATATAAACGCCTGGAGAATTGCAAAAAATCCTAGCTGTCCTTATTAACTGCTTCAAATATTGCCCCCTTTGTGCTATTTGACTTTCCAGTTTCAGTAAAAACATACTTAATTCAGAATTAGTTAAGTTAATTTCAATGGGTATATTTGCAAGAAATTCAGTCACGTAAGTTTTATTCCATTTACAAATTCATCGGTGCACTGTCAGAAAAAGTAAGGTCAGGATTGATAAGGTTCATTGATATCTATTAATTCGGACATTGAAAAAATTTGAAATTTTGTGCACAACTTTTTGCAAATATGGCTTATTTTCGATGATAAAATTAAAATTGCACTCTTATAATGTCTTTATCTTCTTTTCTAAAATTTAATATTTTAGATGGTTGATAATAGTATCGTTTGATTTATCTGCCACACTTCCTGCTTCCATGCCCTCTTCATTAACCGTTATAGCAAACGGTCTTGTTTGCACTATTGTGGTAAATTTATTTCATTAAAAAAGAATTTTCAAATTCTGATCAGAAATTTTCAAAATAAAAATATTGAAATTCTTCTTTAGTAATTGAAATGAAAGAATCAATAGGAGATGACTCAAAATGACAATTGCACAGTTATAAAAATGAATTAAATTGTGATTGCAACAAAAGCGCATCTTCAACAGTTGAGCCTTTTTAGGACGGTAAAATTTACGTGAACAACGTATACAAAACTAATGCTACTATGGAAAACATCGAGGAAGTTAAAACTTACAATGAGAAAATGCGTGAATGGACAAAATCGCTTCATGATACGATGTACATGGCACGTTTTAGATGATATTTGCATGCACGTCCTTGAATATAACAAATTCCTGTCCAACCATCTTTTGTTTTATATCTGATTGTTTCGACCCGTTCTGTATGATTAGATTGTAAAACAGAATCAGATTCAGGGACAACATTCTGTCTGAATGAACTCATTAATCTCTTATTATTACCGGATCAGTTGATTTTTATTAAAGGTCGAATTAAAGGCCAAACTGTTGCAGAAGTATCAATTTCTTCTTCAAATACACTTCCAATCGTTTTTTGCAGACTATGAAAAAAATGATTAATGATATGTTCGGTGATCATGGCGCATTTTGGCGACATCTCCATGGATCATTTTGGGAAGCAGTCAATGCATATGGACCAGATAGTGATCTGATGAATCCGGCACTGGTGCCAATAGAGCAACGGAAGCAGCAAAAAAAGGCGATTCTAAATCTTCCGGAATTATTGCCCTATCCGGACCCACCTTCTTTTTGTGACCATAACATGGAATGATATGAAAGATTCATATGCTGATTATGATGCTTTTGAGAATATTTCGTCAGAAAAAATTATAAGGAGTGTCTGCTTTTAGAATTCTGACCAATCTTGGATCAATCTTAAATTCGGATATAAAATTGGACACAAATATGAATTTCAGTCATGATTTAAATTTGAGATTGCATTTAGCATTTCGAGTTTTAAATAAATTTTGATTTCAGCAAGCAATGATTATTTCACTCGGCTGAAAAATAAGTTTTAATAACTGTGAGAGTAGAAAATTGTTTTAAAAAAATACAATTTTCCGATAGTGAACTACTGGAAAGGCGTCATGATGGTAACCTGAAAGAAAGTTATGTTTCGTAAGTTTAACTACAATTTTTGTAGTTAAAAAAAACTTTGTCCTTCGGATATTGTATAGATTTTCCATTCTTTTTTTCTCTTTGATGGCTATAAAAATTGAATATGGGAAAAAATGAATTGTGTTTTTTTCTTCAGGAAACTTTAATTAGTTAGGAAATGTTTAGTCGTAAAAAACTCTTTTGCATGAGGATAATTAACGCAGTTGTTGTAAGACTAATGCAGCAAATCATTGCTTTGTTGGACTATCACTATTAAAATGAAATCTGAAAGGAGTGAAACACAAGTGGTGGTCATTTCTTTTTGTAATTAGCATATTGTTACTCCTTGCAATAACTATTAGAAATATAAAACCTGCCGCTTGAAAAGTTTTACGCTGAAAAAATACCTAAAATTAGAGACAAAAAAAGCAAAATTGAAACTGATGACAGAAGCTCTTTACAAATTGAATAAAAATATTTTTTAAACTTTCCAAGTTCCAGAAGATACAGAATGAGAAGTTTCATCATTGATAATTAGGATATACTGGATGTTATTATTTAATATTTTATTCAATATTTCATATAGTCTTCAGATGATATCATATATATGTACGTGAATTTATAACGGTAACGAAATTTTCTCACAATCGAAGCATTTCCGCTCCATAAATCTCATTTAAATCTTAAAAAAGTAATTCAGAATCAATATACTTCCTTTGCACATTGATTATCGTCGTGTCTATATTGACTGACCTTCATAATTAATAATGAATTGCATAATGAACTGAGGCTTACCGAACTCGTTATTAGGATATACTGGATGTTATTATGTGTGTGGAACATGTCATGATAGTTGCGCTACAGTGAAAAATAGAAACACGAAATTACGATTTGATTTGATCTGATAAGTAGATAATCATGACAATGTTCCACACTTTCGTTTACATACTTTAAGGCTTAATAATGCACTTATTAATCATAAATTCAAATATAGTAAATGTCGAATTTTTCAATTCGAGAGATTTCAAGAAAATTTCAAATTTCAACAAAAAATTATAATGTATTGAAAAAATATAATATATCATAATTTTGGAAGTTAATTAATAAATTTCCGTTTAGGACTTATATGATCTTTTAAGAATATCGACCTCAAAAAATATGCAAAGAAAATTTCCATAGTGATGCAATATTGAAGCTAATGCCAGTAAATTTAAATTAAAAACCAGCAAAAGTTATTGGTGATATTTATTATTGAAATTACTGATCATATTAATGCATCATTGGTGGATTAAATTCCAACTCTTCGCTATTTCTCCTCTTTCAATTTTCTTCAGAAACTATTTTGAGTACTGCTCTTGCGTTCATTTTCGATGTCCTTATAAGTAAGATATAAAAAATGTGATGAGAACAATATTGTAGCGCTCTTTGTTCATTCGTATTGCGCTTTATGAAGTATTTCAAATTCTTGATTCTCCCCTTATTTATCAATTTTTGTTTCATTTAATATTAACTGTGCTCTTTCTTTCAGATTTAAAAATAATTTGTTCCCGATTTAAGCTCCAGCTTTCTCAGTACGATCAATTTTGTGAATATTTACTAAAGAAATAAAGTCTAGTCCAGTTCTTTTTATTAATTTCTAATCAATAAAAATACATATTTATTGATTTCCAGGATCAGTTCGAGTTAGATTACAATTTTCCTGATTATGATATCTATTATTCAAGCAGCTATTACTGCTTTCATATTACCCAATTTTATTTCTAGCACATATTATGATAACAGTATTGTTGGTAAGATATTACATTTAATTATTGTTGAAAAAGCGCATTGTTTACAATACTTCCGCTTCATTCCTTCTCTCCTCCCGATGTTTTGAACTTTCATTGCTCGGGTGTTGATAATGAAGTTTAAAAATCAAGTATTTTTTAACAGACAGATAGAGAGGAAAGAACAGTTCGGCAAGAGACGACAAGAAAGTAAACATAAAAATGGATTGAGCTACTGGTACGAGCAATCCAGCAAACATTATTTTTATTGTTTTTTTGATAATTCATTGAGAGGTTAAAGATGGAAAATTTTTTCTGTTATCTTCCAATTTCATTCAGAAAACAGTTTGAAATAACAATTAAATTGCAAATAAAAAATGTGTTGTGAAGGATACTTACAGAAGTTGAAAATGTCTTCGACTTGGATGAATTTTTCAATTGATCAGAAAGAAAATCGATTCAAGAGAACGTATTACAGAATGTATCAAAGCATGGAATAAAGCATAATTAATTCACTATAGTTATTAAATATATCAATAAGTTGCATTACATTATTGTAGTCTTAGAAAAAAATTGAGAATGAGCTTATACAAGCAAGCGATTTTTTAGTTAACTTCTTGGTTAACGATTTTTTGGTTAACTTCATATCACTGTCATCATTATAATCATTTGCAATTATTGCCAGCAACATTAATTGGCAAATTATGCATTTAATTAGTTTTTTATGAATCCATCACAGCCTATTCCAGATATTCCGGAAATGCAATGCATGGAAGATGGGATGAAGTTAACATTCCGTACAGCAAAACCATTCAGAGGTCGCATATTCGTGAAGGGTATGATTAATAAAGATCAGTGTGTCAATTCATTTATTGGCAATAAAAAACTCGAAGTGCAATATGAGATAATTATTGGACAGTGCAATATGCGACGCTCCAGAAAGGTCAAAGTGGATATTATAATGATGACATTTAAAGTATAATATAATGACATCCTGCCAGGTCTTCTAATTTAATATATTTCTTCGTCCTCCGTCATCATTCTCAAACTTTTAAGTATCTTTCCATTGTTCTTGTGGGATATGTAAATTACAACTGAGAAGATTATTAATAATTTTTGTAACTACAAATATCTTCAAACTTCAAATGCAATTCTTTTTTTATAACAGCGATCTATTAACAGTTTTTGTTGGAGGAGTATTGTCATTGTCGCAATATATGAAATGACATTGTTAATGACCTTTAGAACGATTTCCTTTATAATTGAGTAATTTCATTTTTGGTATAATTTCGATTTTTAAATATCCAAGCCATTTTTGCCATCATTCATGAACATAAGAAATACGTTTTTGCTAAGTTAAAAAAGTCATCTCTGTTAGTTAAAAAATAAATTTATCTATGTTCTGTCCATAAATTTTTCCGATTTTGCATAATTTAAAATAGCCCTCTACTAAACCGAAATTTTGTAATTATCAACTTTTGTTATTGATCTCTGCGTCTTTTATTCTTAGTGTGGTAAAGATACAAAAACCAATAGTATGTCTATTTTTAAGTACCGAATATTTTCTTTTTTCAACAATTTCAGCTAATATTTAGTGTTTCAGAATAGCAGTAAATCATAAATTAGAAATTTAAGCAGTTTAATTTCTGCTACTGACCTGTTCAGTATGATCCTCTTCGTCTCTCTTCTACAACAACCGGGACGATCATTATCATTGAGTTTTGCTGAAAAACAGTTGTGTTTTGAAGCAATTGTCAATCTCAAATCATTTTGACTTATCAAGCAATATTCATCTATTCATTTCATATCGCATTACTTGAATGTCGAGATATTATTAAATGCTGTTTGAAATTCGGTTCGGCGTCTTGAACTTTATGATGAAAGTATTTAGAAAATGTTTTTAGGATTTTAATTATTCTTAATTTATCGAATAGCATAAAACCAATTTAACATTTTACTGACGAAATTTTTTTTTAGATTGGTCATGAATTAAAAGGTGTCGAACAGTCTATTACCGTGGTTGTTTCTTTTCACGATATTTTCATCACAAAGATTGACCGTGCATTTCGATTTATCTGCTTTTACATGGAAGCTGATCGAGTGATTACCGCTCGATATGATGTCAGGTAACAATCATCCCCACATCACTCATTCTTGTAAGATGATGATCATTTGCTTAATAATATATTGCAAAATTTGCCATTTGATTACTGTGAGTGAAAGAACAAGAAACTTTGTTAAACAATTTTCTTGAAAGAACAAGAAAATTGTTCAACAAAGAGAAAAAGTTAATAACTAATTAAGCATGATTCCGACAACGGCTGTGATTGATACCGCTCGGATGCCACCTTGCACCTACACTGTCCGACGGGAATCTGTAATCGGGAAAGCTATCTCATTTGCAACCGTTGGCGAACCTGTTATTCACGTCTGGCAATGCGAAAGCGGTAATGTTTCAATCTGTGCACAAAGAGGATGAAGTGATAAATGGATGAATGATAATGCAAACATCTTTGATTACTCATCAAGGCAATTTTTTCAGATATGTTTTCCATTCTTGTGCACAGTTGCTTTGTGGATGACGGCAGTGGATATGAAAGAAGGCCTCTTATCGATGAGCGTGGGTTTGTATTGAGATTATTGTTTGTTTTTTTTTCGGATTCGGGAAGGGTGACACGTATGATATGAGTGCCATCTTGAAATTACTAATGTCTTTGTTCCTTTTAGTTGTGCAATTGAACCGACAATTATACCTGATTTGACATATAATGAAGATGGAAATATGGCTTTTTCTGAAGTAAATGTCTTCAAATTTGCGGATAAACTGACTATTTATTTCCAATGCGCTGTTTCCATCTGTATGCGCTCGGAAGGAAAATGTAATGAGCAAACTGTTAGTGCTGAAATGATTTTATGACTTGCTTGTATTTCAATTATATAAATGCGTAATATTATTGTTAGCGTAAACGATTTTTTATTTCGGTTTTTATTTAAAAATTATTTTTAAGCGCAAAATCTAATTTTCTGCTTAATAATCAAAATGGCGTATAACACATGAATATTTGTTTTTTCCATAGAGTAATGAGATGATATGTTTAAACTGGCTTTTAAAAAAATTCATCCATTAGCCTCCACTCTGCGCTAATGATCGAATGGAACATTCCAAAACAAAAATGGCTCACACATCTGCAAATTCGAATACAACACAAACAACTGAAAAAATAGCAAACTCGATTTCGAAATTACGAAAATTACGAAGTGTTACAAAACCGACCACATTATTTCTATTAGAAAATAAAATTTCGCCGAAGGGACAGGAAAGATATACGATAGATTTGTCCACAGATAAAATCGTTGTGTTGGATTTGGATGAAGAAAGATCGACCGATACAGAAAGTGCTTTATCATCTCAGGTAAGATTTTGCTACAAATTGAATCATATTCGATATAATCTATTTTCATTGGTACATTACTTTTGCATACAATAAATTTTTATTTTTTTAGGCTTTTATAATTCAATTATTTGATCGTCAAAAAGTAACGATACGTATAAAATAAGTACATTATCACGCTTACACGTTGACCTATGCCTTAACTTTCAATTATATTTAAGTTATTGAACTAAGCTTGTAATTCTTTTGTCATAATTTTAAGTGTAAAAAATGTTGAATGTAATTTTACTTTTTTAAGCTGGAAAGCAAACTGGCGAAAACGCGCATTTTGTTATATAATGCTGGAAAATTTTGCTTGAATTTATCGACTGCTGTATTGCTAAGTACAACCTTTTGTCTCTCAATTATCATAGTGATCAATGGACTTGTTAAGATGCTGTGGAGTAAAATGACTAACAAATTATCTCTATAAGATGAACAGGTACTCATCAATGTGCTCATCTTCACTGCTCTCATTTAGTTGCAGCCCTTAAGGGATCATAATCGAATTTTATGCCATCATATAAATAATTTGTTTGATCTTATTAGTAATTAATTTTTATATTATCTCTATTTTTACAAAAACATATTGATCCATTGGTCATTTCATAATGAATTTTGTGTTTGCAAGATTAACTCTCTGCATTATTCTCAGTATTTTTGCTAAAATAAAAGAATTCATTTACACATATATTCTTTTTCTCAAACGTCAGAATTTCACTGTGTATCAAATTAGTTAGGGGATTAATGTGAAATATTAATTGGTGAATTTGCACAGTTTGATGATTGATACTTGCACTGATAAAAACTAGCCGTCATGCAGTGTTCACAGGAAGTAATCATAAAAGATCAGGGTATCTGATAACAAATCCATGTTATCACATTTTATTATATTATTAAATATTATCTGTGTTTTATTTATAAAATCTACAAATAGAGATTATTTCTAAGAATGGACGATTAATTTGATTAGATTTTCATTTGAATGTATTCATTCTTATCGTCACAGATATTCAATCTCGACTATATGATGATTTTACCAAGAAATCTAGCATACCCGAGAAGCGTCAACATTTACTTTCACTTCACAAAGAGGCCTGCATTTTTTTGTGTGTAAACTCTCAGACCTTGCAATTTCTTTCACTGTGCTCTTATTAATTTTCCAATATCGCTGATTTCGAAACAATACGAAAGATCAAATTATTTCGTATTTTTCACGTTCTATTTCTTTCTGAGAGAGATCGGTTATTAAAACAATTTTAATTCAGTTGATTTATAAAATTATTTGAAATGGGCAAAACCTACGAATTGCAGCATTTCAATAGGTGAACTCCGAATAAAATTAACTTTTTTAATTGGATAATTAAAAGAAACTAAACAATTATATATTTTATGACAATCTTGGCTTCTTTTATTTATAATACACAATAATAAATGAGGAAAAAAGTTAGTGAGATTGTAAAAACATTCCCATGACATGGAACAAATTTCAACATAACAATTCAATTTTATTTTTTACAAATTTCGACATAACAATTTGATTTCAGTTTTTATTCAGAAAGCATTTGCCGAAATAGTAAAGAAATTGTCAATAAAACTGTTTGTTTATTACCACTAATGAACATTTATACTAACTCAATTAGTGATATTGCAAATGATTAAACCTCTTATCAACTTTCAATTATGATCAAATTTTTTTCTTGGTTTTTTTGAAAAACTAATATTCATTTATAATTTGTCCCAAATATCGTTGAAAAGGATGAAAAGCAATTGTCTTAGCGATACTGTTCATTAAATTGTTCGCAGTTGATGTCAAAGATTCGAGCAAATCCAAAAAATGCTATCGCTAGCTGAAATTCGTCTGAAATTAGCAATCATTGATAGATAAACTAGCAAATGGGGAGATGATTGAAATCAGAACATTGTTTTCAACATGCAATCATGCGACCATCGACAAAAGTCAGGAGTCAATATTTGTTTGTATCACCTCATTTTTCCGATGCCGAGTTTTAGTATAATCTCAAGCGCAATTTGTCTTGCCCATGTTTGTCATCATTATCAAAAATATACAATTTGTTCTTATTACTTTATATTAGGCTAAAAAGAGGAAGAGATTTAGTGCAATGGAAGTTAACTAAGTTTTATAATTCACTGAGTGGTCTGATCCACCATTGCGAATCATTAAAATGATAGTTACAACTTAATCTATCAGCACCTATGTGTCACTTCTCTAAGTCCGAGCTCAACTTCCTGAATAACAAAATATTTTGCTCAACCTTTCAGTGGATGAACCCTTGAAATTTGAAATTTTTATTTTTTTGAAAGCTTAAAAATTTTTAAAATTTGTTTTCTTTTACTTGAAAATTTGAAATTTCTTAAAAATGCAGAAACAGATCGTCTACCACAAATAAATTGAAACATGCCTCAAATTTTTCGGTTTTTATTCAAATCGCTAAATCGCTTGATGCGGATAAAGTTTAAATTTTTAAAAAAAGATGCTCAAATCCTTTGCTGCAAACTGATTAAAATATTTTTTTCGATTTTGGTGAAAATATTTTTTTATTTTCCCATTACTGTTTTAACCCGATACTTTCAAATTTGATAACTTGATAACTAGCTTATCATCGGATAGAAGCATAAAATAATAAGTTGCACATCAGTCTGTGTTATTTACTATCTCAGAATTTTTTATGAATACTGTAATTCTGAAAGCAAATATTGCGTTAATGATTTTATTATATCTATCCTTACAGTAATATGTAAAAGATCCGCAACAAGGATGGACTAATTATCTCATCGTATCTATTTTTTAGAATTTTCATCAGTCTTCATTATCAATTAGTTTGCATGGATGGCTGTCATCTTTTGTTAACTTTTCTAAAATTCAGATAATTTCAGCTGTTTCTGTCAGCAATTTTCACGTAATTGCACTTTGTTCATACTTTCACGTAATAATATTTTTATATTGAATGAAATTAATGTTATCATTTCTATCACCGCTAGCAGAAGGAAACGAAGAAAGATGGACATGTTTTGATAATTATTGCTTTCATGTTGTATTGATCCCTGGTGTTGACTTCAATGTTGTTGTTAATGACGTTTGTGACGGTGTCGCACGTTGATTACGTAACGCACGTTGTATAGGACATACCAGTTCAATATGTTTGTTCAAATAACTTTTCAAGGCGAACAATTTCCCGCAACCAGAACATTCGTACTTTTTGATGCCTGTAATAAGATGAAAACTTCAATTCTTAAAGCAAAAGAAATTATCGACAACAAACTGATGACGGGAAGATTGGTAACTTGCTAAACCGTATGTATTTTATTTTTTAACTGATTTCTAAATTCACAATTTACAACAAATTTCAAATCTCTGATAGGATTAATCAGATGGAATTGTATTACAATAAAACAGGCTGGGATAGGATAGAAAATATTTCAATTTTCAGTATTTCATTTATTTTGATTTTTTTGCTAGAAAAATTGTTCAATTCAGTTCGAAAAAAATTGATTGCTAAGTAATACTTGAGAGGACAATAACATAAACATTAATCCGTGTGCAATGAAGCATATGATAATTTATTAGCTTATATGTTCGATAAAATCATGCAGAAATGAGATTATTCTAAAGGGTATTATATGATTCAAAAAAGCGTTATGGTGCTAACTTGTAGTTTATTTAATCCTGCTTACTTAGGTCTTACTGAGACTGCATTGTTTGCAACATCTTTTGGTAATTTATCATAACCTCATGTTTTTCATAATTTTATTTTTTTTAATCAAAAAATTGCTAGCTTTTAACTAAAAAAGATCGTTGAAAATATTTCAACAGCGTAAAATTAGCGTAAAATTAATTGTTAGAGCAAAAAAAGGTTTACCAGAATGAGTATGCATATGAGCACGAAGATTACTACGATCAGCAAAAGCCTTTCCACAATGCGCACAACCGTACGGTTTTTGACCTGTATGAGCACGCATATGACCTTGCAGAAGCCACGGTCGTGAGAATGTTTTATCGCATTGCGTGCATTTATGTGCCGCTTTGTGAGTCAACATGTGCATGCTGCAAAGATAATCAGTTTGTCGGTGAATTTATATTTTGGAGAATATAATCTCTCTTACAAAATGACGAAAATTTTAGATTTTCCGGAAGCTGCAGATTTAGAAGAAATTTGAAATTGCTGTGACATGGAGTAAAAATCGATAATGCTATACCTGAGCGCAGGCATGCTAACATAAACCCGATCACAATTTGGGCATTGCTTCGCATACGGACTATCCAAAGGTCGATGGGTTTGTTTATGTCGTGATAAGTTGGAAGTTGTTGCATATGATTTACCACATTGATTACAAATTAACCTGTCTGCTAAGCCTGCGGCTGAAGTCTAAAAGTGGAAAATATGTGCCAATTTTAATTATGCTGTCATAAATCGTCAGACATGAATTTTCATCCAGAAAAAGGATAATTTCCTTTAATAACCAATTCAACAGGCAAAAGTCTATCTCAAGTGTATTAGCTATATATATATATATATAGAATTATAATGTGTAGAATGGACCTCCTTATCAGTGCTCCATTCCTTCCTGCGTTTCGATCGTCCATCTGTTGATTGCAAAGCATCAAGCGTATATCTTGTCGTACCGCCTTCGCAGGTTTGAATATTTGAAGTGGAAAGTTCCATTTAAAAAAAGAATTGAATAAAGCAAGATATTTTCAAAAAATGAATTGAAAAGTTGAAATATTAAAATTTTACAGAAACACTTACTCACCCTGGGGAAATTGCTTTCTGATAATTTATTCTTTATGATAGTTCTGGATGAATTTGTTTTACCCAACAAACTTTCTATTGAAAATGCATCGACTTTACAATTTCGTGTCTAAAATATGCAAGAGTGAGTAACGTTTATGCCGATTCAAATTACAACTTTCATTTTAAATTATTCTAATTTCAAAGAAAGTAAATAGACCTTGTTATACTAAATAATATAATATAGATAAATGTATCAACCATAAGTAAAAATGAGCAGCACTTTACCCCAGCTTAGAAAATCAGGAAGTTTGAAAATTTAAAAAAGAAATATAAGGAAATATAAAATGCAGTAATTTACTTATTTTCAACTGGT